TTTTTTTTTTTTTTTTTTTTTTTTTTTTTTTTAGAGTACAGAGTGACAGATGGCGAGTCCTCCTTCCCCAGAGAGACAAATCTCCCTGAATGCAAGCGCATGTCAATCATTAGCTCTCATGTGATAGCTCTCGCGCATGACGTGCCAACCATATGGCACTGGCAGCAGAGCTGGTACCCCCTTTGCTGGGTAGAGATGCCACTCTCGCCTCCTTTTGGATAGAGGACTGCAGGAGGCTGGAGCACCTCAAGGAGCCGCGTCCCGCTCCCAGAAGATGCTGGGAACAATGAAATAAGAATTCCTGCGGTCCGCCCGAAGGTGAGTTATGTAAGAAGTGGAGGGTTGGGAGGGCAGCGGAGGAAACTTGAATGGAGAAAAGGCAACTTCCATGTTGATTTTGTTTCTCCGCCACGTCTCGCCCTTTTTTCCCCCTGTCTTTCGTTCTCTCCCGGCCCTCGGTTCTCCCACTCCCCGCGGGTCCCGCTGATGGGGTTTTCTCCCCCCGCCGGAGCCCCCCCCAAGGGGGGTTGTTGGGGTTTCGCCGCTCCCGGTCTTCCCCCCCCCAGCCTGGGCACGCCCGGGGCGCCGCGGTCCCGGTGGGACGGAGCGGGCAGCGGCGGCCGAGCGGCATCAACGAAATCAGCGCGGAGCCTCCGCGCCGCCGCCCCGGGGGGGCCCGACCTGGCGGAGCCGCACCCCCGCTCCCCCGCGGCGCCCCCGGCCCTCGCCCCGGGCGGTGCCCCCCGCCCCGGCCCCGCCGCGCCGCCCGGCCCCGGGGGCGCCCCCGGCAGCGCCGCCGCCCGCGGCTCCCGCGCCCCCACGGGGGGGCTCCGGCCGCCCCCGCCGCCCCCGCCGCCCCCCGGTTGGTGCCGCCGCATTTTACGGGCCGCGCTCCGGCGGCCGCGGGGAGCCCCGGGGCGGGGAGGGGAAGCCGAGCTCGCCTGACCGGGCCGGAGGGGGTACGGGGGGTACCTGGGGGTGCGGGGAAGGGCGGAGGTCTCGACTCGACGCCCCCGGCCCCGGGAAGGCGGTGGCGGAGCCGCGACCGGAGCTGCTCCGCGCCCGCGGCAGGGAAAAGTTGGAGGCGTCAAAGAGGGACCGGCGACACCGGGCCCGGCCCTCGGGGCACCGTAGGGGGGGCATCGGGCGGGCCGGGAGCGGGGGGGGCGCGGGGGGTTGTGCAGAGCAGCGGGAGAGGGGCGCGGGCGGCGGCCGCGGGGACCCCGGCGGTGGGGCTGGGGGGGGGTCGGGCCGGGGCGGAATCGCCGCGCCTCGAGAGAGCCCCGGTGGCCCCGGGGTCGGGCAGCCGGGGCGGGGGGCAGCGGCGGGCGGCCCCGCGCCCAATTCG